TACAGGGCGGATACAACTTCTTTTTAGGTGAGGAGGGGGGGGGGGGGGCACAATTTCGAAATTTCAAACAAGCAAAGGAAAAAAGTTATCAGATTTTATTGGACGACTTTTGGTTCTTGGATTTTTAAGGTGGAGGACAAATTTCACAACCAGGGGATTTTTATTACAACTCCGACAGTAATGTTGTGTCCCTATTTCAACAGTTGTTATGATGAATTGAGAAATTTAATTCCTCTTTGATGTCATTCTCTTTTCCATTCAGAGTCTGCATCTCTGGTCTATTTACCAAGCTTATCTGAACCAGAGCGTCAAATTTGTTTCCCATCCGCACTTTGTTCTGCTGTCGGATATCGCTCAATATATGTCTGCATGATTTAATCGGTACACCTGTGAAGAGATGATCCTTAAAGTAATATTCAAATTATGAAAAAAAATAGCTGAAGTGATTGGCGTGATATTCATGCCAGATGTGATGATACCAAAAGCTCCAGTTTACAATTTCTATGCATTGCATAGTCAACCTTTCCAAGTTTCTACCAAATAGTTTCTCTTAGCAATCCTATCGCAGGACCAGAGCTGAACTTTATCTTTAAGCATTTCATGTCATTTGGTTCTTGGCACGCAGTTGTACATACCTCTTTATTAAACGTTTATCCATTGATCACGTACTCATCACCTTCAACGGGTCATTACCCATGATTAAGGGATGTATGCATCGCAATTTTTTGAAGAATGATCCTCCTTTTTCATGACAAAAGTCAACTTTTGAATCAACTTTTGAATTCACCTCCGTTCATGAAACTAATGCAATTGCCGATAAAAGGAGGTCTCCATACAAAGTTAAACGTAAAATTCGCTTTGTAAACATTCTAAAAATAATCTGCAAACTTTTTGTCAGTCCGTTATCCCTGCACTAAACAGGAATCGTATAGTACGTGAGGTTAAAATAACTTGTCTTGTTTATTTATTCAGGAAAATCTGCTTGATTTGGTCATAAAGAAAACACATACGCCATGTCCCTCATGGAAATATTGGTCGAATTTCCTCTGTAGATTACTGTCAGGAAAAGAGTATTACAAACGTAAACATTTCATCCTTCACACATTTTGAATTCCGAATTCATGACGAGTATAGTGGACGATGATTTGCAGAAACCAATCTGATTTATTTGCCCACATTCAGTTCAGTTCGGTTCAGTTTAAAAAAATCAGTCATTTAAAATGATAACAAGTAGAATTAATTCCCTCCGGCTTTTTCGAAAATGAGAGAAATAGATTCCGCCATATATTTGTTATGTTTGATATTGTTGTGTACATAGAAATGTTGTTGGGTCGATTTGGACACAAATTTTGTTGCCTGAAAGATGCTTTGTGCTTGCACAACAGATGCTAAAAAAAACCCGGGTGAAGCTGCAAAATATAAAAGAGTTCTGTTTACCGCAAGCTGAACAAAATGCTTGTCACCAGCTTGTTCTTTATATCATTTCAGACAAAGATATCAAATAAATAACAAAAATGTAAACGGACTGAAAAAAGGAGGAAACATGTAACAAGAAAATAAAATTTCTTCTTTTTTGGGCCTAAACAGAATATCAAGTTTGCGTCAAACATTATGGAAGGCAGCAATTCATAGAAGAGGCCTCTAGAGCTTTTGACTCGTGAGCGTCGGCAAATTATGTTGTGCTCTAAAATACTCGAAACCGACTCGGGATTTTCTTTTGTAATTTCCATACATTTTATTATATTCTATGACTTATGAGCAGTGTCGTTGGAACTTGAGCTTAAGGCTATAACAGATTGGAAAATGTAAATAAAGCACTTTACTGATTGTCGGTTTGATGTGCAAATATTTAAGGTCGCATAGCGTGACCCTTTCTATTCAACACGTTAAGTTTGATGTGGATATAACTTTGATTTATTCGCTCATCCGTTGTTGTCTGTTGATTCCAGAACAAAAAGACCACATTTTTGTGTGGCCCACAATAAAAATGAAAGAGAAATGGATGCCAGGTGAGAGAGAAGAAAGAAAAAGTGCAGAGACAACACATAAGAGGGTTTAAGGTAAAGTGAGTGAGAGGCACACATAAACAGACATGGAAGGAGTAGAGAGAGAGAGAGAGAGAAAGAGAGAGAGAGTCAGAAAGAGGGGGTGAAAAGGGGTAAGCGCAGAGACGAGAGGGGGGGGGGGGCAGACAGAGAGAATGAAAGAGAAAGAGATAGGTAGAGAGAGGGGGAGATTGTGTTTCATATTTTGACAGTGTATGAACTTGTCAAATAATTCTGGACAATGGAATGTTGTTGCGAACTAGTCGGGATGATGCATTACATTGCGAATTAAAACGAAGATAATCGGGACGCTGGTTAGCGATTTCTTTTTTATTGGGCCAATTGTTGGATGCTTGCTTTTATAATCCTCACAATAGCATGTGAAGGGACTAGAATATAAAGTCTTTAAAAAAAAAAGACTATTGATAGCGTTATTTAGATGTACAGGGCCCAATTATTATGAATTGCAATATTTGAGGAAGTTAAAAGTTACAAATATGGAATCAAAACAATCACTGTCATCGACCGACTCTATGCCGTCCTACCCCTCCCTAGATCCCCTTTCCTTTTCCCCTCCCCTACCCCATCTCCCATCTCCCTTCCTTCCTTTCCATGTTATGTAACTGCTTAACATGGACTTTTTTTAATTTTTTTTATTTACTGTATACCAACTCCACACTTCTTCTCCTCTCCTTCCCATTCCCCTCCCCGTCCCCTCACCCCTCCCTCGTTCCCCTTCCCTTCTCTTACACCGTGCTGTACCCCTCCCCTACTCTTCCCCTTATCCCCTTTCCCATCTCTCTTTCCTGAATGATCTACTTTTAAAATCGAAGTATCAATCAAAACTAAATTTGTTACAAATCATTTATTTTTCTATATTTACCCTCCTTGAGATTCTTAAAGCAGCACAACGGCCCCCTCATCTCACCAATAACACTCAATAATATAAACCCATATTAATCTGTTTTTCTCTCACTGACTTTGATATTTCCACAACCTGAAAATTCTATTCAAAAATGCAGCCTAACCGACCTTCTAACCAGCTATGTATTTCATATGCGCGCTAAAACTGGCGGCAAGCTAGGCTCAAGAACTTTCTTATCTTTCAAAGTAACGATTTGAGGGAGAACGGCTTATTTCCGACCCAGTCGGATTTTTAGGTCTATTTTTAGCGAATTGAGGATTTCTGGGTTTCTCCTATTGACGTACAGTCATCGGGATTCTCACGTAATCTTTGCATGATAGGCTATGTTTTATATTTTGGGACAAATTTGGTATTTTTAGATTTTCTTGTGGAAAGTACCAAGTAAATCATTTCCGATACGACTCTCAAACCGGTGGGTTGAAAATTGCTTGACACGGGCATCCTACTTTCTGTGGCCTTATTGTTTTCCTGTCAACACAGATGGTCTCTCTCTCTCTCTCTCTCTTTTTTCTTCTTTCTTCTTCTTCTTCTTCTTCTTCTTCTTCTTCTTCTTCTTTTCTTTCTTCTTCTTCTTCTTCTTCTTCTTCTTCTTCTTCTTCTTCTTCTTCTTCTTCTTCTTCTTCTTCTTCTTCTTCTTCTTCTTCTTCTTCTTCTTCTTCTTCTTCTTCTTCTTCTTCTTCTTCTTCTGTCTTCCTATTCTTCGTTGTTTTCTTCTTCTTCTTCTTTGACAAACATCTTAGGCAAAATCGTAAAAATCAACGACTGCTAAATGACTCCTCATTTTGATGATAACAAAAATGGTTGATTCCTATTAAAGTTACAGATCAGCTGTTAGATATTGAAAATGAAGACATGTTGTAGGGCAAGCATTGAATACCAACAAAGTGCCATGATGATAACATTGTCCAAGAACTATAATTAGAGTGATTCATTATTTTGGGGGTAGAAAAGATGTTCAACATTTTGCTCATGTCGTATGGAATAGTTCTGCCTATGTTTAATTGTATTCACCCTCCGCCCTAACCCCCCCCCCCCCCAAAAAAAAAGGAATATATATATATATATATATATCCATGGATATTATTTTTTGCTTTTAGGAGGTATCACTTAAAGATAATCACAACAAATTCAATTAATCAAATGTACAACCAGTGAGCTAAAAGATTGCGTCATAATACACACTCTTTCAACAACAACAAAAACAAACAAAAACACGTAATCACCCAATGATTTAATATGATTTTACTTAATGTTTTATGTTCAAGAAAATTTCTCAAAATCACAAAATAATTCCCAGATAAACCACATACCTCACAGTCAGAAGGAATCCGCATAATTGAAATATTTTTCAAAGGAATAAAAACAAAAGAACAATCGACCTTGTAGTTTACAGATTAATTTGCGGTAGTTTCAGGCGCATAGAAACTTCCCTTTTCCTTGACATTCCGGTAAATGGTTAATTTTCAAATGAAATGATTCTTTGACTGTCACATTGCAAACAATGACCCGAAGAAATATTCAGTCTTGCATTGACGTATATTTTAGATTTACACTGATCAAATTTTAAATCAAATTTCCTAAAGATAATTAAATTGGTTTTGAAATACATTGTGGTAAACAGAATGTTCGGTTGGAGAAGGTGTCGTATCGTTATTTTTATGATAACTGGCAAGCTATCAAAATTATGAAACAATGTTTCATATTATCGTGTTTCAAGTCATTTTATCTCCTTATTTTGAAATTCGAGTCTTTTCGACAATACCGTATATTATCGTGATTTTTGCAACTATAGATGATGTCTGAATTGTATAGAGTCACAGACTTAGATCTAAATTAACAAATCTTTTAATACATTGCACGAGGAGAAAGAAAGAACTAAATTGCTCATATAATAATTTATATATGATTGATTAATTGGTTGAATTACTTCAATTATTAATGACAGGAGAGCCGATATGAATTGAATTTAATAATTATGTTATTGCAATCATTTGATTTTCTATCATTTTCTTTTTTTTCTTCTAACACAGATTTGGAATACGGTATTGGAGCTGTGTGGTTTCAGCACTCTACAGAGGCATGATCACTATCAATTAGTACCCGGATAAATCACCAATACAAAACGTGAAATAAATTAATTATCAATATTGAACCCCCCAAAATGGCGGATTTGGATATAGAAGAGTTGCATACTCCAACACGAGAATGGAAGGGCTGGATTCGAAATCGAATGACCCACGAGTTGGAATGGTGCATCGTGACAGCAGGGCTGATGGGCGTGTTCCGAGATCCGGAGGCCAACCGAGCCCGCATCGTCCTCAACCTCAACGACTTCGACATCAAACCCCTTTGCGAGGGAGCAAAGCGAGGCTCACACGTCTTCACCTACGTCGATGATTGTTACAGCATCAAGTTCGTGTCGAAACGAAACGCGCGGATGATCTACACGTTCGGTACCGAAACGGAGGATGATTTTCGTACGTGGCATCGCGCGCTGACCGGAAGTGAAGTGGAAGAATCTGGCCTTGATTTGACCCTTGACGCTTCCTCGAGTTCAACGTCAGTGGAGGTTAAGGGTAAACACGTTGACGCTCGTAGGATGGACAGTGGTTTGGGAGACGACATCTGCACGTCACCGAGTCCAGACGCACAAGGAAAGAACAGCCGGGTGAGGCAGTTTGAAGCTATTCAAGAAATTGAGGTTGCGACTAGTAGTCTACGCAGCAGTGGCCAAACAGGAAACGTCACACCGGATAGCACTAGCGGGAAATCAGAGTCAAGCGATTCGCTGTCTGACTCGGGGCAAAGTAATACCACAACGCCTGATTCAGAACTAGCGGATGAGGTGCCGAGACTCCGTGCCAACGCTCATAAACTTCGAGGGCCTCGCTCCGATCAGTCTCGCTTTAGTGCTCCAGTTGGGGACTTCTCGCTCTGGGAAGAAAAAATGGGAGAAGACGGATTACTCATCAAGACATACTCATTACCCATGAAATCACCGCATCGTGTTCGTGTCTCGTCCGATGGCGAGGAGGAGGAGGACGCCTTCCAATTTGAACCCTCCTTGACAATGTCTACCTCCAATCAACAAACAACTCGCTCAGCAACGACCACGCCGACGTATCGACGACCGGGGCCGGTGACGAGTTTCAGCGACCCCGCTAGGAAGAAGCTGGGTTCACGAATGACCGTCAAAGCGTCGAAGCTCGTCGGCCGAATGACCCAGCTCCGCTCGCAGCGACACAAGACACCGCTAGCTCAGTCATCCATAGTCACCATCACCGTCGAAGGCGATCTCCTTCGAAAGCACAAAAGCACCTTGGTGCCCTGTTTTTGTATACTCAGTGGAAACGTTATGTACTGCTACAAATCCAAAGAATCGGAAGATTTATCGGATTTAACCATCGACATCCACAAGTACCGTCTCTCCAAACTGACGGCGGCGAGGACGGAATCGAAGGAGCTCGACTGCGCTTTCGTTCTGACACCCCACAGCAGCGGCTCGAAGGAGTACGTCTTCATCGCGAAGGATTTGAATCTCGCCAGAAAATGGTACGGGCATTTGGAGGATATTTTGAAGGAGCTGGAATCGAGACAGATCCGAGCCATGCAGAGCTCGGCACCCGACTTGAGGGGTTCCTCGCCATTGTTGAACCAAACTGGAAAATACGATGTAAGCCAGCAAAGCAGGTATTCCAAAGCCAAGACGAGGGGCAGCACCTTCAAACTCCTTGCCATGGCCGAGGAAGAACAGAGGAACTCGATCGCGGCGCGGATGTCGAGGGGCAGCTTCGAGGACGGGTACGGGTTCACGGAGGAAATAAGCCGACATCGAGCTTCAATGGGCGACATCATAGGAACAGACCACACGGACAGCCAAGCCTTCGACGATGACGATGGAGAAGCTTTCATCGAAATCACGATGGAGGACGTCATGAGGTCAAAGGTGAGCACTGAACTATCATTATTATTGTTAATGTTATTTGTTGTTGTTTTTGCTTTTGTTATTATTATTGTAAGTAGTAGTAGTAGTAGTAGTAGTAGTAGTAGTAGTAGTAGTTGTTGTAGTAGTGGTAGTAGTGGTAGAAGTAGAAGTAGTAGTAGTAGTAGTAGTAGTAGAAGTAGTAGTAGTCACGGTAGAATTAAAAATAGCAGTAGTCATGTTAGTAGTTACTGTAGCAGCAGCAGCAGTTATAGCATTGGTATTGTCATCATTATTACTATTTTCATTTTAAAAACCATTATGGACTTGGGATACTTCAGAATAAGTGTGTTCACAAAGACTTCGATAAGATCAGTAAATGACTACAAATATCAGTTGCGTTACCATGGCAACGATTCCGCGGGAAATTGCTCGGAGCGTGATTTGAAACAAAATGCGGGCTAGGGGCTACACAAATTCATGAATTCTTTTTATTTAATCCTGCATGCCAGAGAAACGGTGACATTTACACGGGGAGAATAAACTTTGCAATTTCTTTGAATGCAAAATCCTCTAGAAGTTCCACATTATTTGTTTAGGAAAAAACATGCTAGTATATGTTCTTTACTTATTTCCGCTTTCAAAATTAGCCAACTCAATCTCAACATGCTCTTTTGATTAATCTCTTTTCCCCCTCGAACTTGAAGAAGAAAATCGAAACTATATTTATTCCTTCTGACGAGAACTTCTGCCAAGAAATCACTTGAAATGTCTTTCCTGTTGTTTTATTTCATGGGGTCCCGATAAGGACCAATTTAGAGCGATTAATTCAATCATTCGTCATCAGCAAGCAAAGATAGAGAGGAATTTAAAGATATTTGTCACTCGTTTGAATCAGTTTACAACTCAATAAATTGCGGGATTGCCAAGGGGCCGCTAATTGCTGTGAAAGACGAGTCACTGCCTTTTCAAAAGCGTTTTTAGCGGGACCTTTATGTAATCAAGAGATTAAGATTTGAAGTAAAGCGAAACGTTTCTTCATGCATTCGTCATCAGTGAGTTACGATATAAATGAATCAAGTAACCGATATTTCTAAGCCCGTTTTTTTACGAGAATATAAAACTTGACACAAGGGACCACTTATTACTCATGACCCTACTAATTTTTCTCGGGGGGTTCCCCCGGTGACCTTTCTCTTCTAAAATTGTCCGGCAAGCATACAAAACAAAACAAAGCAAAAACAACAAAAGAGTAAGGTGGCTTTTCACAACGATTATTTGACAAACAAGGACAAACTTTTCTGACCAACCCGAAATAAATAAATAAGAAGAACCAAAAAAAGCTTTCATTTCCTGTTGATGTCATTCCACCAGAAAATGGAAATTAAGTACATTTTTGTCAAACACTTTTCCAACCCCACAACAACCCCTACTTAGTACGACCCTGTTACTTAATGAGAATTTTTTGTAAACCTGCGTAAGTTTTTTTCTTTTTCTTTCTTTTTTAAGGAGGGTGGAAGTTGAAAAGGATAATTCATGCAGCGAAAATTCTAAACAAGGCGAGATAGAGGAAGGAAGATATGTGAATTAGGGAAGATGTCAATTTGGATGAAAACATCTTTTATGAATGGGAAAACGGCAATTAATTTAATGCCCCACACGTGTTGCGCATTTCCCAGCTTAATAAATGACAGACTAATTGTGACACACTGATTTTTATCAAGTAATGATCACCGCTCCCCCCCCCCTCTCTCTCTCTCTCTCTCTCTCTCACTCTCTCTCTCCTCTCTCTCTCTCTCTCTATCTCTCTCTTTCTCCGTCTCTCTCTCTCTCTCCCCCCCCCCCCCTCTCTCTCTCTCTCTCCCCCCCCCCTCTCTCTCTCTCTCTCTCTCTCTCTCCCCCCTCTCTCTCTCTCTCTCTCTCTCTCTCTCTCTCTCTCTCTCTCTCTCTCTCTCTCTTTATCTCACTCCATTGGAATATATCCCTCATAAATTATCCCGGATCCCCGTAGCAATACGAAAATATTGGGTGTAAAGCACATGTATAATGCTAATATACAGTGAGGTAAGGTTTTGGGATTATCAAACAAAACAAAAAAATACTCAACTTGCTGAAAATCACCAATACTACACACAGATATGTGTTTATGGGACTACACTACCCATGTGAAATGAAAGTGTGGTCCACACTTTTCAGCTATTTTCCTGTCATATTTCGAATATTGGGGCATTCGAAAAGCAAACTTTTCCAGTGGTCATTTCTACTGTGATATTCTCCCAAACTGACATACAAAGAATGCGAAAGTTTGTAAATAACTCGTATCTTTGCCAGGGGGGCGTTTCACAAAGATCCTAATTTGAACTTATCTCTAAGTTGGAAAGCCGTTAGCATCTCAGTACAAATATTTTGTAAAAGTTATTTTAAAAGGCGTAAACGCTGATTCAAATCATTCATATTATTTATTATCAAGGAGATTTCATGTTCTTGATGTGGAATTTATGAAAAGTCTAAATTATTTGAATTTTTGCTTTTAAATATCTTTTATTTTAATTTTAAGGCTATAAATGGCTCTCCATAATATTTAAGTCCAACTTAGAGTTAAGTTCGACTTAGTATCTTTGTGAACCCCCCCCCCCCCCAAGAACTCAAGCTATTTCTGTCGTCTCTTTAAAATCAGTCCCTTCTTGAACTTCGCAGGGGGCCTACTGCACGTGTAAAATGAGCGGTTAATGACAGCGTGTGGAAATCAAGTTTAATCACTTAACGAAGTCAACGAGGAAACAGCAATTAGAAGATTCTGTAAGCTCGTTAATGAATCGTGTCAAAAAGAAATCCATTTCTCATATCAAGGCATTACCAAAATCCTTCAAGATTAAATCATAAAGTATATTTAGGAAAACGAGACACATTTGTGTTTTTAATATGATGTATGGCAAAAAGGAAAATCATTATATTAAACCTACCAGATGTTTAGACAACTGATTGACACATTTATGTTTTTAGTATGATATATGGCAAAAAGGCAAATCGTTATTTGTTTAACCTGCTAGATGTCTAGATGAATGATTGTCACTTTAAACGGCCAGTGTCTGGTTATTGCACTAATAATGAGAGATGAATCAGAAAGCTTTCCTAAAGATTATATGACATGCAACATACCTCATAAGAAATCAATAAATGTACGATGCCGTCATTTATTCTAAATATACAGTGTAGGTCATATCCATATTTTTAATTTGATGCAAAAATACTGGCAGGGCTTTGTCGTGGGTGTTTTGTCATTACCTACTTCACCTTATAATGCGTCTTAAAAATCTTTGATAATTCCTATAAGCAAGGGCGGGTTCATTTTTATAATAAGAGGGGGGGGGGGTGGTAGTGTGTGGATCTTCATCTAAGAATGTACGTCAGCATGATGTAGGGTTGTCAAAAAAAGGGAAAGTTCTTGTACCGCAATGGACACGCCACAGCCGCATTTCTGATTAAGAATCCAGTGAAATTTCAATTATACGTTTAAGACCACTAGGTAAATAAACTTTGCCGAAAGAGTTTGATAGAGAGTGAAAGAAAATAAAGCAAACAAAAGAAGTCATACCTTTTCATATGAAAGCATGAATGGTAGAGTTAGCCCCACATGTGTGCACCTGGGTGTTCGTGCTGCTCGATGTAATTTTTAATATTTTTCTTTTCCTATTTTTTATTTTTTTTTATTCTGGGGCACTTTTGCTTGTCCAAACGACGCAATCAGTTCCTGATAAACAATTTAGATTGACTTCAAGAGCGTTTCCATCGCAATACATGACCATTCATTTGCCAGAACCCAACCATTCAACCTCTAAACCATCCCTCGGAGTCAAGGAAAGCGAGCTCTCCACCAATTAAAGTTCAATCAACTCTCGTAAAACGATCAAGAGGAAATCACCGATTACATACTATCAGTATCGGTTAGCATCCTCGCGTTTATCTCCGCTTGCAGTCAGGAGTTGCCAATTTACATGGCGTGTATGTTTTAAAGACCCGGTCGTCGGAAATTACATTAACACAGTTAAAGCGAGGTAGGAGCTCAAACCAGTCGCAATAGATAGAGAAGTTTAATCTAACCAGCTATAGGCCGAGAACACATTTTTAGAACTTTAGAGAGAGAGAGAGAGAGAGAGAGAGAGAGAGAGAGAGAGAGAGAGAGAGAAAGAATTTGGGGCCAAGGGCGTCGGTCCTTTGGAGTCTTCTATTATTATCATTGCTCGAATGCTCCAAAGACCGACGCCCTTGGCCGCATTCGGGCAATACTTGGCAATGCCCCTGCCCGCCCCCACCCCTTCTAAAAAAGGTGATTACGGAAGGACTACGGTGTTTTTGAGGTATATGCAGAGTAGGTTTTAGCTCAATTCTGAATATGGAAAGACGCCCCTAATTAGTAGCGCATTAACTGCATCGCTACAGTGGACGTCGTTTTCAGGCTCAGAATCAGTTTAATTGGGTTGTTTCTAATTTATTTGCCTTTTTGTTGTAGGTTTGTTTGGTTGTTAGTTTGTTTCTTTGTTTCTTTGTTTTGTTCGTATTTAAGAAACCTCTCACATTGATCTTATCATTATCTCAAATCTGATATAAATCATAACTCATTGAAGATTACAAGCCAGTGTGAATATTAACACCTTAATCTCAATGAGATTTCTCCTTCCGATCCCAGCGATACTGCCAGGTCAAAACATGGCTATAGCCCAAATATCTGTTTATTGTTGTAGCGTTTGTATATACACACACATGCACAATCATTTCCTTTTTATTCGGTACATAGAGAAATATTGGCTACATTTAGGTGTCACTAATTACTGTTATACGGTAATGAGGAAGAAATCACTTTTCCCAACCTAGATTGATTAAGCCTTTCTCTTGTTGACCTACTTAATTAACCGCCTGTGCCTGGCCAGTGTCCCGACATGTCAACCTTACAGTCTGTTTTGTGTATACCTTCCATCAACACGCCTGCTAGCGCTACTGGGCGTTTAATTTTCTTCCATAAACTA